GAATCTTTATTCCGGTACGGTTTTTGCTTCTACCCCTGAGATGTTCATTGTCTGAAATTTAACCTCAGCAAAGGACAATCACCCAGTATTTTTGTCACTGGTTTTTGACGGCTATTATGCGTAAATACTTTACTCAACTTTCTGTTTTTGCCTGCCTGCTCTTACTGGGAGCTTGCAGCAAACGCTTATATCCGCACCAACAACCTGCCCGGCAATATGCGATTACGGGAGAGACACCGGTAGACAGTAATATGTTCCGGATGCTGCTGCCTTATAAGAAAGGAGTGGATACACAAATGCAGGTAGTAATCGGCCATACAGATATTCCATTGACAAAAGCACAGCCGGAAAGTACTCTGGGTAATTTTATGGCAGATGCACAGCTAATGGCTGCCCGGGTATTAGATCCTAAGGTAGAAGTATCGGTCAGCAATTATGGTGGTATCCGCGTACCCTATATTGAGGCAGGCCCGCTCACACGTGGAAAAATATTTGAGCTGATGCCTTTTGACAATATGCTCATCATACTGGAGTTGCCGGGCACCATCCTGAAACAGTTCTGTGATCATATGGCGATGAGCCGCGGATGGCCGGTAAGCGGCATTAGCTTTATCATCAAAGACAAGCAGGCAACCAATATACTGGTGAACGGTACCCCGCTGAATGAACACTTATACTATAAGGTGGCTACCTCTGATTATGTAGCGAAAGGCGGTGATAATTGTGACTTTCTTTCATCCACGAAGAAACGGTATACCAGCATTTTTATCAGGGATGCGCTGATTGCTTATATAAACAGATTGGAACAGGAAGGCAAACCATTGCATCCGCAAATTGAAAACAGGATCACCTATGCTGAATAGAAAGGAATTTATAAAGAAGGCAGCCGTTGGCAGTGGCTTGTTCCTGTTGGGTGGTTTTCCATTCAACAGCCTTGCAGCAGCACCACTTAAAAAGCTGACGATCCTTCATACCAATGATGTGCATAGCCGGCTGGAACCGTTCGGAGCTGACGGCGGTAAATATGCAGGTCAGGGAGGCGTGGCTGCAAGAGCCGCACTGATAG